TAAATACAGAACAGATGTATTTTTACTTGGTGTATATAAATGTATATAAATTCTTTTAACGGTGATATAAAGTCAATTCAATATTCAAAACAGAATGATGGTATATAAACACCCAAGCACAATACAAAAAAAAAGAAAAAAAAAAATCTATATAAAATAATAATGATAATCCAACTACAAAAGAATTTACACTTCTGCCAAAAACAATTTTAACAAATCTCTCTAGAATTCCCATAAAATAAACTTTTAGAAATACTTGCTAAACAATGTACAAAGACTATCAGAACTGGATGCGAATCTAGAAGACTAAAGACGCTCTTCAGTACTTAGTCTAGTCTCTTTTTGTACTAGCATTCCAAACAAGGCCACCTCCTCCCCAGACTGATTTCCCTTAAAAATCTTTGCTTATTATATGATTTATAATCTTGAGCAACTAATTAAAAATGTTAAAGTAATCAACTAGCAAACAAATGATGCACTTTTTTTTTAACTGAAAGCTTTGAGAGAAAAAGAATAGCAATTATTTCCTAATGAATGAGAGAAAAGCTGATTAAATATTTATGAGGGGGGGGGGGGATATGTCATGATCTGTATAAGATTATCTTACAAGCTTACTAACATTACTATATGCATACATATACATATATACATATATATCATTAATTTAACATCACATTTGAGGTCCAGAACAAATCTCTCAGCATTCAGTAAGCATTTCTTATTGGTAGAGATTACTATGCATCATTTTTTCCTACATTTTCTCTTCTAAAAAATTTAAGAATAAAATATTAACAATTTTAGATACCAAATTTAGATTCTAGCTGTACAAAACTGACTTGAAACCCACAACAACTGATGTAAAAAGACGTACAATAAAATTATGTTATTCTTGCCAATAAACCAATACAACTGTACCAATATGCATAAACCCAAGCTAGAAAGGAAAAAAAAAAAAATCCATCCATACATGATACTTGCTCACTACAAAAAATTTGTGAAGCAAATTTAATGAATGTTAAAAAATCCAAAATTAAGAAGACCATCTTTATTATTAACAGCCACTTTAACAAAAGTTAGTGTTATTCACCAATTTGCTTTAGTCCTTCTTGGTCACCTGATAGAGTGGTACATCTGCTCTTTTAAAATCTTAACGATAAATATAAAACTTCCCGAGGCACTGAAACTGCCTTGGGAGAAAATTGGACCTACGTGGAGTTGCCTCGCACCGCTCCTGTTCTTTCTATCCTGTATTTCGTAGTTTTTTTTGTTTGTTTTTTTTTTGTCATTTTGTGTCAACATTTTTCTACAAAACTAGCCCTCTGGGTTTTATTATCTTTTAAAAGATTTATTATTATTATATTCACTTCACTTACAATTCACATGAAAAACATTTCTGTGCATATATGGAACTGGGAAAATCTAGAAGCATGGGAGCAGAGATCGAGATATATGTATAAAAACAATCAAACACACTAACAAGTTTAAGAAAGATGATAAAATAAATAAATTGTAAAAAGACAAGGTCGTTGGAGGACCTGCAGCTCCCCTTGTGCTCTGGGGGCTGGCACATTCCACCCCCAAGGACAGAAAATTATACAAAAAAAGAAAAAAAAAAAAAGAAAAAAAAAAGTCCAATGCACAACCAATTGCTTATGGGACTTTGTGCAGCCAGCCAGCTCTGCCTGATTGATCACTTCATCTAGCTAAATATCAAAAGCAATGGCACCAACACTGGCCATGACAGTGTCAGTCCCACAAGCTGAGGGTTGCCTCACTGGCAGTTGTGATGTTGCTCTAAAACCATCCATCCTATAGCACTGTATCCTTATATGGTACATGAGAAAACAGTTAGAACCCTGAAAAAAGTGACAGAAGCCCCAAAAAGTGGCAAGAATAAAAAAAAAATAAAATAAAATAAATAAAATAGAAGCAAACTTGTTCCTCTCCAGGCTGTAAGAGTATGCACAGTTCAACAATTTTAGGCTCAACACCATGATTTCCATTAGCCTTATCACCAAACACCATAAAAAAAAGACCCACTGCGCAAAGCCAAGAGCAAGAATGCAAGAGCAATATTCTTTACACATTCATTATGAATGTACACCATAAAGTTAATAACACCCTTCTACAGTACACCACTGCAAATCAACTGAACACATCGTTAATACACCAAAAAGAATTCTTAAAACAAATATATTTACTACAAAAACAATCTTAAAAACAGTTCCTTTGCCGACCAGCACAGCAATTTCTTGCTCCTCCTGCGCACACGGTGAAGGAGGATGCTAAATGGGAAGCTCGAAGTCTCGTGGACGACCATGGAGGGATGCCCAGGAGTATGGCTTCTGCTTCTATAACTATGTACAGAGCGGTCGGTCACTTGGCTTACGGTTTACTTTATCATTCAAAAGTCTAACAGATACTCTCACTTGTATAAAATAATAAGAAAAAAAGCACAAAACATAACTAAAAAAAATAAATAATAGAATAAAAAGAGGGGGATTCTTCAATAACTTGAGGGTTTCACGCTTAAACTCTTACTAATAAAACATTTGTGGCTTTTTAAAAAACAAGGTAAGGGAAAGAGGGGAGGGGGGTAAAGGGGGGAAAGGGGGTGGAGGGAATAACAATCTACCACTGCTTCTTGTGTTCGTCCATGCTCACGCCTCCCGGGCCAAGCGAAATCAGCATTAGCAGACCGCCGATGACCGACAGCGTCTGCAAGTAGACAAGGCAAGTGGAAGACAAATGAAGATAAACTGTGTGGCAATACAAGTGGAAATTAGGAATCTGCTTCAAATACACAAACTGAAAAAGTAGGCAATATAATTTGTGTACTAAAATATGGGTGTGCAACGCCTATCGCAGCCAGTTCCTCGCAGCTTTCTCAGATCCTTCACTTCTGATGGAAACCATATCATATGGATTTATGAAGCAACAAAAGGATATCTTAGGGAAAAATAGATCCGGGACGAATAAGGCAATGCCCCAAGACATGCCAAGAATTTAGATGTAATAAATATACCTCACATTCAAAAAATTATATGTAATGACTTTTTTTTCTAATACACAAAATTAATGCATGAAAATGCACTCTTACTTTCAAATATCTACAAATACTTTTTTCACATCCAATTATTTTTATATGTTCCAACTCCAAATTGAAACAAACTGCTTAAATATACCCATTTTCTCCCACAAAAAGGAAATAAAAAATAATAATAAAACATTAAAAATAAATACATAAATAATGAAGATATGGAAGCCTTACCTGGAAGAAATCATACTTGAGGAAATCTCTCATGGGCTTGTACGCAGGAATAGACCACCACGCGTTCACGTAAATGTTGAAGACGTTGAGCCACAGCACAAGCAGGAAGGCGCTCAGCTTGGTCTTGTATCCAACGGCCACCAGGGCCATCAGCAGACCGCCAATCACAATCTGGAATATCTGTAGCAAGAGGAGCAGGTCAAGAGGGCTTCCAAGGTCATTCATGTCTCTTTTCAGTTATTCAACATCATTTCAATTATAATCATTAAGTACTCCTGTGAGAAATATCAATCCATCACTAAAAAATAATTTAATATCAAAGGGTCTCTAATGCTCTACTTTTCAATAAAGAACAGGTCATGTAAAGTGCCTGACCTGCTTTTACAATTCTGCCTTCAATTACATAGTCATTTAAGGTCTTAATATTCATGGTATATTATCTAAATGGAAGATTAATTTCTCCGATTAAATCTGCATAGTTGCCACACTGAATTTATGCACTTCATTATCATGTTCAAGAAGACTTTGGGATTAACCCCTTGGTGCCGGGTATGACGTGTACGTACGTGCTATACCCACAGTGAGTACTTGTTTGATTGTTTTTACGCATAGATGGCAACACTTGTACTAACTCCCCAATGAGCCAGTTACGAGCACCACCTGTTTCGCCCGTTTGCCCGTTTCTTCGATTTACAAAATATTTTACGTAATCTTATTTTGCTGTTACTAATGTTAAAAAAAAATTATAAAAATTATAATGTTTATGATAAAAATAACACCATCGATTTTCATAGCACTAGTGAAAAATACGTTTTTCCCGCCATTTAAATCAGGCGCAAGCAGAGCCATCTATCGGCAGACATTTCACGAAAAACATAGAAAGTGGGCACAATATTTTCCCCATTTTTTGTTCATTTTCCCCGGCACCATTGGGTTAAGGGTAACAAAATCCATGAACATGGTTTTGCCTCAAAACAAATTCATTGTAACTGATTCTAAACAAGAATGTAAATCCTTCAAATTTACACAAGGAAAAAAATAAATCTAACCTAACCCACCTGCATCACGGAGAACTCGAATCTGACGAGTGTGAGGAACATGAATACTAGAAGGATTCTGCCACCCAGCATGAGGTACGTCTTGGGCTTGTTCTCTCCCAATGAGGGGACACCTGCGAAGATAGACCTCGCTTCCTTTTTACTCTCGGCAAGCACCAGCGCCAGGCCTCCCACCAGGGCTAGGTTGCGGAACAGGAACTGCATATCCCACAAGATCTGGTACGCGATGGTCTGGGGAGGAGAATGTTTAGCTTCGTTTTCGCACCAAGGAAAAGACGCATAGCACAGGCTGGTATGTGAAATCACTGATCTGAATGCTGCTGTACAAAAATGCATTGATACTGAGAAAAATACAGATAGTCCCCTACTTAAGAACATTCTACTTATTAACATTCCATACATACAATTTTTTTTTAAGTATTTAAAGTCCAAAAAATTGTTTGAAAGATGCTAGCAAACTTCAAGTTTCCCAGGCGCGAATATAGCAAGAGTCTGGTACTGTATAAGGTATGTCATACTTATTGGGATTTATGTACAGGTATTCTTAATGTAAACAAAACTTTAAAACAATGGGAAAAAAGTAATGGAGACCCGACTTTCGACATACAAACAAATCAACTTACAAACAGCCTCTCGGTCCCCATTATGTTCTTAAGTTGGGGAATTACTGTTATTGAAGAATAAATAGCTCTCAAATATCTTCAAACTATCACACTCACCTGCAGGACCACAATGAAGAGCAGGAGTCCACATGCGACCTCGACCTTCTTGCGGAAAAGCACCATGAACACGCCCCCAAGCTGCCCCACCAGGTTGATCACCACAAACAGTGTGGCAATGAAGTACCCGCAGCCCCACGAAATATCCATGTACTCCCGCTGCTCGTGCCACTGCCACCACATACGCAGGCCATCCTCAAGGAAGGTGCTCACCAAACATAATCTGGCTATGTGCGGCAAATAGTTCTTACTGTATCGCAGGAACTGGAATGGAGAAAATTTGGTTTGTCTGTTATTATATGAAAAACATCATGATGACAATTTTGCTTTCAAAATCTGCTTTAGTCTCTTATATACTCATATGCTGATGTTTAAAAGACTGGACATATTAATAAAAGTCAGTTTTTTTAACCCAATCCCAACGGACACAATGTGTACATATATGCCATACCCACTGAATTTACTTGTTTAATTGTTTTTACACAGATGGCTACACTTGTACTAAATCACCTATGAGCCAGTTACAAGTACTGTCTGTCTCGCCCGTTTACCCTTTTCATTGATTTATTTACATAAATATTTTATGTTATCTTATTTTGCTATTACATAACATAGTAATTAAAATGTTTGTAATAAAAATAACACCAATATTCATAGCATTAGTAAAAAATACACTTTTCACGCAAATTCAAATCACGCAAGGTCACAAGGTCTAAGAGCATCTATGAGCAGAGAAAAAAAAGCCGACTGTTTACCCTTTTCCTTCACTTTAGGCAAGGGTCTTTTGTATCAATTCATTGTCTACAATATCTTAATGACAATTTAATAATCATAACATCGATAGCAATGGTATTAATAAGAAAAATACATTTTCCCGCCAATTCAATGAATGGGAAAATCAGGGTCGGTAACTTGGGCCTACTGATAGACTCCTTGCCGGCTGAGCACATGTGGAGCCATCTGTATGTAACAAAATTCACCAAAAACTACAGGGGACAGAACATAATTCTGGGGTAAATGGGTTGACTAATTTCTATTTGTACTGTATATCCACAATATGGCTTTAAAAATGCATCAACGCAGCAGTTAAAATGAAACATTTTTCAATGGTGTTTCCCAGCGAATGGTGTCGCAAGGCCTGTCAACTATTTGATGGGTCACAGTAATGAGTATGCGTCACATTTGTTTTGGTTTTCGCAAGGTAAATATGGATGGGGACTTAGAAAACGAAGGGTCGATCTTCACTCTTCTCTGTCCTGTATCTCCCTTGTTTTAGATTTGCGCATCTTTGCCATAGAAAAGTGTCTTAGTTTTCATCAAGGTGTCCACTCCATACATTTACTTTACTGTACTCTTGATTGACATACAGAAAGTTTTCCGCTATTGTTTGGGAGTTCGCGGCTAGGGCCACTTGCAGTACCTTTTCCTTCACTTAGGCAAGGGTCTTTGTTATCAATTCATTGTCCTAGCAAAATCTTACATGACAATTTAATAATCATGAACATCAATAGCAAATGGTATTAATAAGAACAATACATTTTCCCAGCCAATTCAATGCATGGGAAAATCAGGGTCCGGTAAACTTGGGCCCTACTGATAGACTCCTTGCCGGTCTGAGCACATGTGGAGCCATCTGATGTAACAAAATTCACCAAAAACTACAGGGGACAGAACATAATTCTGGGGTAAATGGGTTGACTAATTTCTATTTGTACTGTATATCCACAATATGGCTTTAAAAATGCATCAATGCAGCAGTTAAAATGAAACATTTTTCAATGGTGTTTCCCAGCGAATGGTAATGGTAATGAGTACGCGTCACATTTGTTTTGGTTTTCGCAAGGTAAATATGGATGGGGACTTAGAAAACGAAGGGTCGATCTTCACTCTTCTCTGTCCTGTATCTCCCTTGTTTTAGATTTGCGCATCTTTTGCCATAGAAAAGTGTCTTAGTTTTCATCAAGGTGTCCACTCCATACATTTACTTTACTGTACTCTTGATTGACATACAGAAAGTTTTCCGCTATTGTTTGGGAGTTCGCGGCTCTCTGGGGCCACGAGTGATAAGGACCCCAACTATTCCTGACACTTGTGGCAACCCATCAGGTCCAAGTCAAGATGATGCATCATCTGGACGCCTTTCCCGGCAAAGTTGCACCATGTATTAGGCTGCTCTCCCTTTGCGTGTGGAAAAATTGGTTGGCTTGTTTGGCCATTACTGCAGTGACTTGGGAATTACAGCCTTCGCAGGAAAATATATACTACAGCCAAAATCATAAAATCACGAGGAGTCAGATTTCCCCTGCTTCTATGCTACTAATTTTCACTGCAAGTAGCTGACTGTGCACAGCACCTGGGGCATGGTTTACATCCAATTGTACTGTATTTACCAGTGATCAGTTACAATCGCATTACCAACATTGGTAGAGAGATGAAGATAGACACTTCCTGCAGTGTGGATAATTGAACAAAATAATTGCAAGTTTGGATGGCTGTGTGAAACTAAAAGGACAATATGTAGTATAAGGTAGTGGCAGAGTTGGGTAACAAAACCTACATGAAATGAAAGAACAATACAAACCAAGACAAAGTTCTTCTATGGCAATGTGTGTGCAAATGCTTCCCAAGGCTGCTAAGCATATATATTACCATGGAGATCCAGGGGGCAGAGCCCCCTGACTAGGGAATATATATCACGGTGTTAGGTTAGGTTAGATGTTGGGCTAGGATGCTTTGTTTAACAAACACGGGGGTCTGTTATATTCCATAATTTCTGATATACCTCATGCCCTCCCCTGCTATCGGGAGCATCAAATCAATGGTGATGGTGATCGTATCTCCTCAACGATTCATTTGCACAAGAAACAATGCCTAGAAACGTTGAAAGCAGTGGATTTCATGCAGAAAAATGTCAAAATTGTTTCAAAAGTAACCCACTACCCACTTCTACATATTGAAGGGGGGGGGGGGGGGGCTTCTCTTATGTATAGCAGCCTTGGGAAGCATTTGCACACACATTGCCATAGAAGAACTTTGTCTTGGTTTGTATTGTTCTTTCATTTCATGTAGGTTTTGTTACCCAACTCTGCCACTACCTTATACTACATATTGACCAAAATTTGCTCTAACAAGACAATTACAGTATTGTCTCCAAAATTTGACTTTTCAATAACATTTTTTTAAAGCTTGTTTCCCAAATATTCACACTTTTCTGACTCAATGAAATCAACACATGCCCAAAACTCGAAAGAACTTAGGTTGCATTTCACAAGCTTCAAGAATTCACACAAAGCCACCCATAGTAACAAGAAATTTTGATTTCTTTGATAAATATTCTCAATTACTATCTAAATGAGTCTTAGTTATGGCACCAGGTTTAAATCAGTTAAAGATTTATCATCATCTGTCTACAGTAATCATGCAGACAACAACAAAACATCTGGTATTATGTAACATTACATAAAACCCTTAAAAAATTGTATTTCAAATATAATCTTGTTCCTCAATACTGTATTACTCCAATTTTTCCTTGTATATGGACCAAATTATCCATCGCAATTTTTCATTCGTAACTGAATATACACACACAAGCACTAATTATCGTTTTTCGAACGTTTACATTTTTGGGGGGCCGTAATTATCAATGCTTTTCCTTCTTGTTCACATACAAAAAAGAAAGAAAAACAATATTGGCTTTAACATTTTTTTTCTTTTACATCCAATTGTCCAAATCAACAAGTCGTTGAAACAGCAACTTCAATAATTCTTTTTTCATCGCACGTCACTTTGGCCACAGAAGACATGGTATCCTTCCGGTACTCGTGTGGGAAGAAAAAGCAAATTCCACAAAACAAGGCACTGAAGATTTTTTCTTCCACACATTTTCCATCCACCACTCCCTTCCCTTAGAAATCAATGTCAAAGTATATTCCTGCTGCTAACCCTACCTCCCTGCCATCCACATTAAAAATTAGACCTAGGATTGTACCATACCCCACACTTCCCTCATACCAACAGGTATTGGAACCTCACAAGGTCAGCAAATCAGGTCAGCTGTCTCCATCTGTCAAAGCCTTCAATTAAAACATTACACCTACTTTCTGACCTCTAACATTGCAAAGAAACCCTAAAAAGCCCCATTTCCGCCGCTGAATCAGGTCTCAGGTCTCTACCAGGTCACCAAAGCAGGTCATCCGTGTCCATCTGTCAAAAAAAAAGCGAAGGACGGAGGCCCACGCGAGCGAGCCGGCCCCAAATCCCTCATTTCTCCACTTCCCTGGCCCTGAATCACCCTGGAAACCCCTGGAAACCCCCAGGGAAATGGCCCCACGCCCCTCACCTGGTCTGCAAAGTCCTCCGCTCTTCCCAGGAGTTCATTTTGGTTCTGCATTGCGCGAGCGGCTGCTGCTGCGTCCTCCTCGACGGTCCTCCGGCGTGTGAGTCCCCTTTCGACGGCGCCCCAAAAGTCCCTCTCAACTCGCTTATTTCGGGGTCTTCAGCCCTTGTTCCCGGGGATTCTCTCGCACTCTCCTCGACGAAGGGCTCGGCGGGCGTGGCAGAGGTGCACAGTAGACCTGTCCTGAGGGGGCGGAGGGCGAGGGCGAATTGCGGGGTGATTTTCCCCTTCCAACTCAGCGCCTTTCCAAAGGGGTTCGGGTGAGCGTCCGCCGCGTCGGGGACCTGATTTCGACTAATTTCCCTCTGGACTTGGCAGGGCGGGCTTCCTAGCTGGCTCTCGGGGCCTCTAAATTTTACTCTCGATCTGGGCTTTGTTCGGACTTAATGGTCGTTGCGGAGAAGCCATTCAACAAGTGGTCGTTGCGAGATAAAAGTGGTGGTAACGCCGCAGCCATTCGCTTGTCTGCCACGTTAGACGTCCGGCCCGACGCGCCACCTTTGAATCTGGGAGCGGCGCGCGGAACCTAGTTTTAAGGGGTTCACGGGGTGTTTTA